CAGGACGTGAGTTCCAAGTACAAGGACAGTGGTCTTTCTTGTGCATTGTTTCTGCCTCCATCCCATCCTCACTTCTTCTCTGACTTCCCATTCCATTCAGCAACAGACGGATACTCAGCACCCTGCCGAGCAAACAGGAAACCGGTGTGCAACCCTCATCCTGGGGGCCTGCACTTCTGTCTCATCCACCACTCCTTATCTGCGCCTGCAAGTCTGCAAGGACGTTGTTTCAATGGCTCTCTCCTTCACCAGCTGAGAGCTTCCTTAGGGCAGGGCCAGGTCTCTGCAGCTACAGCCTGACTGGTAGTAGAAACATACCAGTGTCTGTGGAGTTGACACAGGGAAAGAATTTCTCACAGGAGTCCATCTGGGGGTCCAGTAGGTCCACACTGGAAGGACAAGTCCTGGGGGAGAGCGTTAGCCATGTCCTGCATGGCTGGAGGAGCTGGAGAACAGGGCAGGTGTTACAGAGGAGTGCCACCAAAAAGTGGTATCTAAGAATGTGGTCAGAGTGGGCAGGCCAAAATACTCCAAAAAGAGCAACTAACAAGAATGCAGCACTTTTCTTACGAGTCTCACACCGCCTCACTCCACTGGCTGTGGAATGGCCCTCCCTAGAGGGGTCTGAGAAGAGCCTGGACCATGACCTCTGGGTTCTCTTCAAGTCTCCAATTCTGAAAGACATTAACCTTCAGTGTTGTATCTTCTCAAACTGTTTATTTTACTTTCTTTTACACAATTGACAAATGGAGTGAGTCAGACATGGGCTGACCTCTGCCTTGTGGTTGTCACCCCAAACAAACACGAAGAAGTTCAAGTCAGACCAAACAGCCAGTAAACATAATGGCTAATGCCAATGCAAATGACAACACCAGCCCAGAAAATCAAGGAGTCAAAAAGAACCATGCCTGGCCCCAGCGTCTCAGAAAAAGTGTTCTCAACTGTAAACTGAAAGTAATGCCCAATTAACCACAAGGTTTTGCAGAACTGAGGTAATGAATGCAAAACGTTTAGCAGTGCCAGGAGCACAGCAAAACCCAGTAAGTGGTATTATTATTATTATCATCATCATCTAGTAGTTTCTAATCCCAGTAACAAAAAATTATACTCAGCTAAATAAATAGCTACTTATATAACAGAATGAGAGAGCTCAGATATTTTGTTTTTTGAAAGGAAGAAAAATGCCTGGAAAACTTCCTTGTTGCACTCTCACTCTTCACTCTCTCTATTCCACCTGTTCCAGGTGTGACAACAGCCTTGGGCGGGAGGGGCTGAAGGAATAAGATCTGCGTCATCAAGTTCCTGCCAAACTCAGATGTTAAAACAAGAAAGACTCAAGGACTGTCAGTAACAGTGAAAATAGCTAACACACCGACTAATCACCAGCGGTCGGACCCACGCCTCATCTCAATCCTCACCACAAACTACTACCTACATTTTGCAGATGGGAATCTTCTGCTTAAAGAAGCTGAAAGGTCACACAGCAAGAAGCACTGCAGCAGGCAGTGTAGCCGGAGTCCAGAGCCTGAGCCCCTGTGAAGAAAGAACCGCCTGAGAAGTGAGCACTCTTTAGAGTGCTCCAGAGTGCTCCAAAACCTGCCAGGAAGAGAACTTCAGGTGCACTTCACAAGGACACACAATGCAAGATCCTTCTCCTCTCAGTCAAGCGCTGCATCTGCTCCTTTGAAGTGGGCCCTTATCCCAAACATGAGCATGGGCGGCGGCAGCCCGGTAAGTCTGGGACCAGCTGCTGAAAGGCTGAGCTGCACCAGCCGCGTTCCTCAGCGGGCTCTACACACCTGACACCTGACACAGCCCCGAGGAGGCGACCACAGAGCATTTCTGAGTCACCAGTGCTATTGCACTCGTTGTGGGAACTCAGGGCAGGACAGGAAGTGAGCCTTAGCCCACCATCCGCCAGGAGTGCAGAGCTGAGTTACAGAGACCAAAGGACCAGCACCTCCCCGCCCACCAAGTTGACAGCTCTGCTAGGGTGCCACGGCGAGGGTGGGAGAGGGCCTCTGGCTGGAGAGAAGGGATCACTGAGGCAACGGGAAAGCACAACCAAAAGCTGGTCTTCTTCACAAGGACAGGTCCCAGTCCTCTCTGCTCGGCACCATGTACCTGGCTCCGGGCACACAGCAGGTATTCAACAAGGGTCTGCTGATTAAAGATGCCTGCACTTGTGCAGACTCAGGCGGGGGTCTGGCTGGCAGCTCTGCAGGGTGACCTTGCGGGCCATTGCAGCACAGGGGCTCCAAGAACACTGAAACTGCCTGCAGCAGGCCAAAGGGATACAAATACCCCCAGAAAGATGGCTGCAGGGCTGCAGGGAAACCCCTCGGTCACCTCCTATCCTGGGGTAGAACCTGCAGCAGAAGCTTTGTAATGTTTGCCCAAACACACAGACCACTGGCGAGAGATTAACGTGGCACAGAATCCGGGGTTCCTCGATTGTCCAGTCTGCCTACTACCAACTGCCAAGAGTCACAAAACACACAACAGTCAAGGCTGGGCGGGATCCGAAGGGTTATCTAGTCCGACCAGCACCCCATGTGTGCATCTTTAATTACTGTCCGAAACACAAACAGCTCCAAGGACAGGTAACTTGCTACCTTAGGAAGCAGTCTTCGAAATCTCTGAGCAGCTTTAAGTGTCAATTTCCCAAGGACTCAATTTCCAAGCAGAAGACCAAAGTCATTCTGCTCAGTTTTCACTCCATGTCCACAACACAGCTGTTGGAGGCACCCAGAACAAAACCAGCTCCTCTACATGCCAGCCTTCCATATATTTGCTCTCTGTGTGTCCTCCTTAGCTCCTTCCACCAGTTCTCTTCTGGCAGAGTTTTCAACTTCTTCACCTTCTCAGCGTTCTTCCATAAGCTCCTACCATTAATATCAACACCCATCTCACCCGCCTTCCCTCCCACGTGCCCACCTGAAGCAGCCCTCTGCCTGGGTATCAATCCCACCTCCCTCTCTTACTCAACCACACACATGGCCTCCTGCATTGGTCCTGTCCTCCGGCATCAACCCCTCCCCCAAACTTGAGTATTCCCATCGACATAAAAACTCTCATCTTGAAAAACCCGCCTTGCTCCTATCCCCTTTGACTAGTTTACTCCACTCCCCAAAAGAACTGTCTGTGCCTGTGTCCGAACCTCCTCTTCTCCCACTGGCTCTGGAACCTACAGCGATCAGGCTTCATCCCCACGACTTCACGGAAACACCTCATCAAGGACATGCATGATTTCCACACCGTCTAACCCAACGGCAGTGCTCAGTCCGAGCCTCCTCCACCACCCACAGCCCAAGTCAGGCCCACCCCGCTCTTCCTGGCCCCAAGAACACGGCCCCCTCCCCCCCATGCCTTCCAAGCTGCTTTCCTGTATCCCTGCTGGTCCCTCACAGACCCCCCACTCTCCACAGGCTGAACTGCCCATGGGATCACATGGTGTCCGGGGCTCTTCTCAGTCTACATCCACTCCCTAAACATCGGTGGCTTTCAAACCTTCAAAATCGTACACATAGTTCTCTATGTTCATGTAAATGTAATGTTAAAAAATCTGCACAGGACAAAATTTACCTCTACTACTGACATAATCTGATGTTTTCTATTCTATCTCATTTTTTTAAAACTTACTACTCCCCACTGTATTGATTTCATGATCCATTAATGAGATACAACCAGCTTGGAAAAACTCTGCCCTGATCTCCTCCAGGCCCGTGGGCTGAAGTACCATTTTATAGTAGGGAGAGTCGATTGTACACAAATACTTATTTTCTCTCTCCTGAACCTGTGTGGCCAGTTGGTTTTCTGACATTTTTATGTGGACATCTCACAAGCATCTCAAACTCAACCTGCACAAACCCGTGCTTCCCATTCCCACCCGCAGTCTGCTGCTTCCCTAAGCTCCCCATCTTCGCAGATGGCACCACCACTCTCCCAGCTGCTCCATCTAAAACCCTCAGCATTATCCTAATCCCTACCACATCCCAGAGTCAACTCTTCAGTGACTTCTGTTTGTCTTCACAGCACAGCCCAGATCCAAGTGCCCTCCCCATCTCGCCCAGGTCACCATCACCCTCACGCGGATTACTGCGATAGTGCTCCCATGTCCACTGCCCAAATCCCACCTGACCCCAAATATTTTCCAACAGCAGCCTGAGCACTCACTCAATGTTAGTCAAACCACGTCATGTCTTCCATCTCAGAGCCAAATCCAAAGTCCTTACAGTGGCCTAAGAGGCCTGGGTGACCCGCCGCACCCTTGTCACTGTGTTCATGTCCTCCCACCCTCCCTGCTGCTCCTCAGGCTCCAGCCACACTGGCCTCCCTCCTGGTCATCAAGTGCCCCCAGCAGCGGCCACCCGGGGTCTCTGCCCTTCTGAGTCTCTCTGCTGACACTCCCCACCAGGTGGCCATATGGCTCCTTCCACCCTTTCTTCAGGTCTTTGCTCAAATGCCTCCTTACTAGAGAACCCGCTCCCTGACCACCCACATGAACAGTACCCACCTGCTGTTTCTCTTTATGCCCCTCACCTTGCTTTATTTTTCCCCTGTCATTTGTTACCACCTGACACAGTATATATGGCTCACCTGTTTCCTGTTCCTCTGCTCCAGTAGAACACAAGCCCCAACTAAAAAGAGCTCGCCTGGAATGTGCCCGTAGTTGTTGACACACACTGGACAGAATGACTCCAAAGTCGTCATTATTAATGTGTTTCTTCCAAAGGGTTCCCCCTGCTCTATATTTATGTGCTTTGTTTTCAAGACCCATTGGGACCTTTTAATTATCTTTACTGAATCTCATCTTGCGGGGTTCAGCCAAAGCCATGGCTACAGCTCCTATCTTGGCAGAAAGGAAAACATTTTTACAATGGCCGACAGGGCCCTGTAATAGTGGTTCACAAAATTTTGGTCTTGGGACTCCTTTATACTTTCAAAAATACCAAGCACCCAAAGAGCTATCAATGTTACTACATTTGAAGTTAAAACTGAGAAAAATTTCAATATTCATTAAATCATTTTAAAACAACAATCCATTACATAATAACATAGTTAAACTTTCTTCCATAAACTATTTTCCAATATAAAAATTTAGTGATCAGTTATAATTTTTACATTGTTGCAAACTCCTCAAAGTCTGGCTTAAGACAGCTAGATTCTCAGACCACTTTCTGCATGTCACCTGCAGCAGTATCTCACATCCCGTGGCCTCTAGAAACTCCACTGCACACTCGTGAGAGTGTAGACTCGTGAGCACACATGAGTGGAAAAGACAAGTATCTCCATCATAAGTAATACTGTGAAAGTTGCTTTAACCTCACAGACCCCCTGAAAAGGTCTCAGAAGCCCCTCCAAGATCTGCACCCAATGCCCACCTGACCTCTTTCACCTCCGCCTCCTGCCACCCCTTTGGCCTCACCAGCCTCCTTGCTGTCCCTTATACATGCCAGACCCACTCTCACCTCCGCCCTGGCACCTGCGGCTCCACTTGTCTGAAATACTCTCCCCCACCTCCATTCATGCATTCAAGAAGTACTACTGAGCATCAATTAAGTGATGAGCACTTTTCCAGGTTCTAGAAATAACACAATGAACAGAGGAGAAAACCTCCCCTGCCTCCCAGGCACCAGCCCCCTGATAGAGTCGACAGGTGTGTTGATGCATGCTCCCACCGGCCACGGCTGTTCATCCGAGTGTCACCTTCTCAGCATGGCCTTCCCTGACCACCCATTTAAAACTGATTCCCACTCAGCTTCCCCTCGTGCTCCATTCTCCCCTGAAGGACTTACCACAACTGGATGTACTACACATGCTGTTTACCTGTTCGTCTTCCTCTCTAGAATGTGGAATCTGTGAGGGTCAGGGCTTTGCCACTGTGCTCACTGCTGTAGCATCACACCCAGAACAGGTGCACCGTGACGACCTCCCCCTCCCTCGCAGCCGGGCTTCTGCCTCCAGCACTCCACTGAGGTCGATGATGGCTTTCTCACTGTGAAAGGTTCAGACACTTCAGTCCTCACCTTGCTTGTCCCTTTGGAGCTATTCCTGGAAACTCTCCTCTCCTAGGCTCTGCCTCCTGCTTTTCAGCTCTGAGGGTCTCAGCTTAGTCCCCTCAAATGGTTACAGCTGCTTCATCTGCAACCCCTCTTTCATAAAACTGGGTGATCCCTAAACTTGTATCTTTCCTGATCTTGCTCCTGAGATCCAATGCTATTAAACATCTTTACCCAGACATCCCACAGGTACCTCAAACCAAGGAGCGCACAACGGAATACTTCTGCTCTCTTCCCCAGGTCACCCCCTCAGGTGGTCAAACGTCACCACCACTCACCCATCAATTAGAAACTGGGGGTCACCTCAGATCCTGCTGTGTTCACTCCTCAACCCAACCGAAAGCAAAAACCTGTTGGTTGTGACTCTCTAGGACCTCTGCTTCATAAAGTCCACTTCCCTGCCGTTATCTCAGCGGAAGCACCACTCAGTGGAAACAGCCTCTTCATCCTAGCCCCCTTCTATCCATCCTCCACATGAGTGCTGGAGTGTTCTTTTTAAAGAGCAAATGTAATCCCTCGCCTCAAATGTGATCCGCTACACCCCTCCACTGTTTTTAGGAAATAATCCAAACCCTTGGCGACATTCAAAATGCCCAAAAAGATCTAGTACCAGCCTTACTTCCTGCACTTCCAAACACAAGCCATTTTCTGCAGTCACATTTGCAGTCTCTGCGACACACACACTCTGGCGAGCCTCAAGTGTGGTCACGCTGTTCCCCTTGGCCCAACATGTCCTTCTTCCGTCCTGCATCCCAGACCCCAGGCCTCTGCGCTCCTTCTTACCCTGGCACACTCTCCTCCCTCTCAACACCTGCCACTTGCTCCGGAACGCTGTCCCTGTCTGTCTACCCATTACTCGCGTGGCACTAGTCAGCAGGGTGTTCACTTTTGCACTTGCAGTCAGTACACGTGACAGTGGAAAGGAGGAGAGAAGAATGAGAGGCTCACAGCACAGACACCCAGAAAGGAGAAAAGAATGTGTGATGAACAGCTTATTATTAACCAGTTCCTGATTTAGGCGGTGAGAGAAGGACAAGGACAGGGCCAGAGCTAAGCTCCCTGAGGCCTCTCTGGACAGTTTCTGATGGAGAAAAGGACCACTGTATTCAATTCACATTCTGGAACAATATTTATCTCTTTCAGACCCCTAAGTCACTGATACTATGATTTCAAAGCTCCCAAGGGTGAGCCAGTTTAAAGGAAAAGATCCACCAGATGCCCACAGGGTTCCTGGAGATGGAAACACGGAAGGAAGGAAGAGATAAAGTTAAGTACAAGCAGGCTTCTTCTGAGAAGATGGGCTGTAAACAGGGGTGGTAAGACACAGCTGTCTCAGGAGGCTGGCAGCTAACAAAGGAAAAAGATCTTACCTGTCAAGGCAGATGAGCCCCTCAACCTCCATCCCACACACCAAACAAAATGACCAGGTCTGCTTGGCTCCAGGCCACAGAAGAGGGGGCTAGCTGGCTCCAAGACCACAATTCTTTTTCCAACTATTTTCTTGGAGAAACTTAGATGCAAACCAAGAAGGCTGATCTTAAACCAGCTCCACAGGACATACTTCCCCTTTCAAATTTCCCTTATGGGATTTAGGCACAACCTCCCCAGTGAGGCAGACATTTTCTCTGGATCAAAGTCCTCAAGGCCAGCACTCCCGCTCTGCTCTGACTCCTGCTGAGCTCTGACTCCGTCCGGTCACTCCCGCAGCTATGGCCCTAATCCTTCACATGGGAAAGAGTCCATCTGGGTAGAAATAAAACAAAGAAAGGGAGTAACAGCAAGCTTTGTTTCCTTAAGCTTAAGGAATACTGCAAATTCCCCAAGCTATACCCTGGTAGGCTCTTGAAAGGGTACAGCCCACAACTTCTCCCTACTTCGTGACCCTGCCCTGGGGGTGACCCCCACCCTCTCAGGGTGGGGGGCGCTGAAGTACAGCCAAAACTTCAGTTTCTTTTCTCTCAAAGACCAATTGCCAACAACCAACTGCCATGAGATCTTTGGGCTCCAAAATTCCAACTATTCTGGGCTCAAAGCCAGCAACCTACCAAAGTTTTTCTACAGAAGACTAATTAGTCTTTACTCAGTTCATGGCCAATTAGGCAGTAAAGCCCCCACAAGGCCTAAAGGCTCTGTCTCACGTCCACCCGTGTCCTAAAACAGTAACACCCAACGGCCGAGAGGTGCAGGGCCATGCTCAGGTAGCACGTTGCTCCCTGCCCACGTGCTCCAGGCGCAGGCCTACTGCCACTTGAGCTGCTGGCTCTGCTGCACAAAAGGCACACGCTGTGGCTTGCTCAATGGCCTGAGAGAACCTTTGTGCTCCCCAGGAGATAATATTACTTGACCCTCCCATCCACTGTGGCTCAGGCAGGTCTAACTCGTGAGGGAAGCCATCCTCACGAGAAAAGCAGCCAAAGGATGCCCTCTGCCCTCTAGTGAACTGGAGGACTTCTGCAACCATGACTCAGGACCACTCAACGCCAAGCATGACCAAGTGAGCTGGGTGTATCTCACCCTCTCAGGGTCCCCTTTCGGAAACAGACTGAGTATATCACCTTTAGAAATATCACCCAGTCTGGGACAGGGAAAAGTGAATGTATTCTTAACTTAAATACACAGACATTAGACACAAAGACTTTGTTAAAGGGCCTTAACTAAGCAACCTTCTCTTTCAGAAGACATTGTAACCAGAAGCTCCCAGAGTATCTCAAATCATACTGTAAGCACAGTGGGAATTCAATAAATATCATGATAGGGTGACGACAAAAGGGCAGCCTCTTTGTCCTCCGAATGCCTACCTCCTATGGGCAATTTAACCCACCTGCTCATATTAAAGACTCAATCTCTGTTAACAGCAAGTTTGTTTTTTAACAAGCTACTATGTGACAAGCGTTGACATACAACAGTGACAGTGGACACGTTCTTTGCCATTATGCGGCACACGGCTCCCGAGATAATCAAACTTGTTTTCTATCACTGCAATTCAGTTATTCTGGGAAGAAAGCAGAAGAGGATAAGGAGGCAGGAGGATGTACAGACCACTGGAAACTTTACTTAACCTCCCCGCCCTGAACCTTCTAATGCAACTTTTGAGAGTGGCCACACTGCAAGATTTTAGCTTCACCCAAATCCCTACTCACCCTGTGACCTGAATTTTAACAGAGCAATAAAATGGCCAAACAGCAAGGGGGAGAAAAGAGTCATGGGATCCAAACAAAGGACAAACTGGGTAACTGGCCTCCGGGCCCTAGAGAACCCAAGGGCCTCACCCTCTAGCCTCGCACCAGAGCCAGGTGGGCTTGGCTTATTCCTGGTCAATATTCCAACCAGGTCAGGTGCTGGACGCCCCGGCAGAGGGAGTGTGGAGGAGCCAGGTGAGAGCCACAAGCTGTGCCAAGCCCCTGAGAGCAGGACCTCGGGGCCTGGCGGAGAAGCGCATGGGCCTGGAGCAGGGATCCTGACCGCCCCACAGAAGCAGCGGCCAGATGGGAGACTTGGTGCAACATTGAGGGCTGGAGGGGTGTTTTTCCAAACCACTGTGTTCAGGTATAACTTACATACCATGATTCATCTGTTTTAAGTGTACAACTCAATGACTGCTAGTAAGTTTACTAAGCTATGCAACCGACCAAGGCTACAGTACAGTTTTAGAACACTTCTATCCATCTAGAGGGGGCTTTTAATAGCTCCCCAGTCTGAAGATGGCTTTGGTTTAGTCGGGTTTTAGGGGCTGATGAACAGCAAGCAGAACCCACCGCTGCTGCTGTCAGTTCAGGAACGTGGAGGAACTCAGAGCAAGTTACGGTCTTGCCTCCACGTGAAAAGCTGGGCCTGGCTGGGGGCCTGGAAAAGTGTACGATTTCCTTGAAAAGTAACTAACACTGAAAATAGCGATTCCCAAACCAAAGGAAGAACCCCTTAATCTGTTTACATTTCCTGTTCCTCCCCACAACATCTCAGCAGTGCTCTAGGGCAACTCTCTTCACCGCGACAGACTTTGAGTCCTAGAGCCAAGGACTCAGAAACATTTTAGTTAAATCTTGAAACAGGCACTGTCCCTTTGTCCTGACAGCTGCTCTGCTTTCAAAAAGGCACAGTGTAAAGAAATGGGTCATGGATCCCACATCTCATAATTTTCCAGGTCCCTGATCAAACAAAAGAAATCGAATTTACGAAAAAACTGCTCCACCAGAATGCGTCAGGGCACCTTCAAGTAATGTCAAGCAGAAAAGAAGTCTTCATCTTCTCTTCCAACTTGTCCCCTTGACTGAATTGCAGCCCTAATAAAACTGCCACCCACCCAAGCCAGAATTCCACATGTGGGCCTCCACATGTGCCTTACTTCCCACGTT